TCACATTCGAGTGCCCAGGGCCTAACTAACTCAGAGGCCCTGGGCATTTCAGCATTTGCTGAAATCCGAGACTCGGTGCACTCCAACCAACTGGCGTGCTGCAACTGTATRGACCCCACTTCGTGAAATGTTGGCACAGAGGGCTCTTGTTGATTTGCTGGCCCGCCTTCACTTAGGGCGGGCACGAGGCTTGCAGGGGCCTTAGCCCAGAACATGTACATCATGGCAAGGCCCCTACTTGAGGGCTCAATCCTCTCATTCCATCCCCCTTAGCTTCGGAAGTCCGCTGAGATGCTTACTTCGCAGGTGCCTTCCCTTTCAGCTTCCGTTCATAATCTACCACCACCTGAGGGGCTGTTTCCATCAGTTCCTCCCGTGTAAACCACCGATCTTCTTTCGGATCCGTATGATGCCTGAATCTGATCCGGTACTCCCTCTTGGGTTTAGGAGGTCTTCCTCCACCCAGCTGCTTCGGAACAGGCATATCCCTGTGACCCACAATGTCGTCGATGTCTACTCGTCCATCCATGGTTGGGGGCAGCATCGATCTCCTGGAAGGGAATTGATCAGTCTCAGCGAAAGGTGCAAGCTTTGAGGCATGAAAGACTGGGTGAGTGCGTAGGTGTCCAGGGACACAAATGATTGACATATGTGGGACCATCCAACTCATCTCCCACTACATCCAAGACTTCCCAGGGACCAAAGTACCGAGGCATTAGTTTGCGAGAGATTCTGAATTCCTGTCCTAGCTCGCTAGCCTTGACCCAGACACGTTCCCCTACCTGAAATGTGGATTGTCTGCGATGTTGATTCTCAGAAGCAATCATAGCTTGCTGAGCCTTCTTCATATGTTCAACAGCCTCTTGCAGCTTTTTCTCATATTGCACACCGTATTCAAGTGTGCCTGGAGTTGCAGCGGGTCGGTTTTCAGGTAGGAGGAAGTCTAATGCTGATCTAGGCTTCCATCCTAAGTGCAGCAGGTTAGGACTAACGCCGTTACTACTATGTATAGCATTGTTGTACAGGCTGGCGATGAGAGGTAACTGCTCATCCCAGTCGTCCTGGCTGGGCTTGATGTAGTGCCTCAGCAAGTGCTGTACAACTCTATTCATTTGTTCGGCCTGTCCGTTGGCTTCGGAATGATTCCCTGAAGTCATTTGAAGTTGACTGGCCATCTGTTCCGCAGTCTTCTTCCACAGCTCACTTGTGAATCGGACGTCTCGGTCACTAATGATGGTCTTTGGTAAACCAAAGTCCCTTACCCAGTTGTCCTTGAACAACTTGATGACATATTCCGTCCTGGTTGTCTCTGGCATTGGTATTAGTCTAGCGTACTTGGTGAATCTATCAATGATGACGAAAATGTGCCTCTTACCACTCTTGCTGGTCACAAGAGTGTCCATGAAATCCATGGAAACACTCAATCCTGGACCATCAGGAATAGGTAAAGGCTTCAATAACCCAAACGATGCTTGAGTTCGCGGCTTGTCCCGCTGGCAGACCTGACAGGTCTCAACATACTTCTTTGCGTCATCTAACATTCTGGGCCACCAAAATCGTTGTACTAAGTTAGCACTCGTCTTCTTGTAGCCAAAGTGCCCAGTTGCGTCATGACATTCGCCTAAAAATAAACTACGCAACTGTTCACTAGATGGAACTACCAATCTCTTTACTCCGGCCTTATCAAGATAGATTAGCCCATCCACCATCACAAACTCACTTTCTGTGGCCTTGTCTTTTGCCTGAAGTTTGCGGATGATGTCCATCGTGACAGGGTCTTCCTGATAGGCTCCCACCAAAGATTGAGCTACTTCATTAGATACGCCAAATTCAGAAACTAGCGCACCTCGGTAGTCTGCTCTACGGGATAGCGCGTCTGCAACCTTGTACTCTCCCTTCAGGTACTCAAGCTTGAAGTCATATTGGTCTACGACCTCAATCCATCGCTTGAGTGCATGAGAAAGAGCCGGTTGAGTCTTGATCCATTTGAGGGTCTGATGATCGGTCCTCAGATAGAAGAACCTTCCCAAAAGGAAGTGTCTCAAATGGACAAGTGCCTTATAGAGAGCATAGAGTTCCCTTTCGTAGGTGGACTTAGCCAACTTCTTCGATGGCATCTTCTTACTCATGTACTCAATCGGTCTCAACTTTTTCCCATCCTGCTGAGCCAGCACTGCACCAATGTCGTATTGGCTTGCGCCAGTGGTTACTATGAATGGCTTCTGCGGATCGGGAACCATGAGAACTTCATGATTCATGAGTGCATGCTTCAATCTCTTGAAAGCACTCTCGCACTCATCACTCCAGTCCCACGGCGTGTCAAGTCGAGTTAGATCAGTCAAAGGAGAGGCGACTGTCGAATAGTTCTTTACGAAATTCCTATAGTAGCCGCACATTCCTAAGAATGATCTGACCTCAGTGACTGTCTAAGGTCGTGGCCAGTCTCGAATACTAGCCACCTTCGCATCTTCCGGCCTAATTCCCTCTGCGGATACTTCATGACCCAAGTATAGTATCTTAGTGCGACCAACTTCACACTTCTCTAGGTTGACCTTATGCTTGTGCTGTCTAAGGAGTGAAAGTACCGTCTCAACATGCTGTGCATGCTCCTCGGCAGACTTATTGAAGATAAGAATGTCGTCTAGGTAGACCACGACAAACTTATCTAAATGGTCATGGAAGATCCGATTCATAGTGTGCTGGAATGTACCCGACGCATTGCAAAGACCAAAAGGCATCACTACAAACTCATACAGACCATATCTAGTCTGAAAAGTTGTCTTGTGTTAGTCCTCAGGTCTTATTGCGATCTGATGATATCCGGATTTCAAGTCTATCTTAGTATAGTACTTGCATCCCTGCACCCTATCCAATAGGTCGTCTATGAGTGGTAGAGGCTCTGCGTTTTTCACTGTGATGGCATTGAGGCCCCTATAATCAATGCACATCCGCAAAGTACCCCCCTTCTTTGGTACGAATAGCACGGGTGATCCGTAAGAGGAAGTACTAGGCCGAATCCATCCCTTCTCTGTCAGCTCCTTTAGTTGCTTCCGAAGTTCATCTAACTCGGCAGGGGCCATCCTATAGATCCTTCCCTTTGGGTTCTTACTCCCTGGAATGATTTCTATAGCGTGGACAACTTCCCTATCAACAACCCCTGCGGGCTCCTCGAACAGATCAGGGAACTTAGCAACGACGCTTTCTATCTCTGGGGGTGTTTTAACGGCCTCCCCCTTCTCAGAGACATAAACAAGGTACATACCCTCCTCTTCGTTTTGCTTGTAATAGTTGTAGAACGCTGATGCACACAAGCAGCCATAGGTATCTACAATACTGCTGGCCTTGAACTTAGTCAATCTGACAGTTCGGCCATCGGGCAACTTATGCTTGAGCACCTTCTTATCCCAGTCGAACTGGGGCTTAGCAACGTCGAGGTAGTACATGCCTAACAACATTTCGAATGGCAAGTCGTCGCTAACCAAGAACGAGATTTTATGGTTAAGCTCTCCTCCTCCATAGGAGAAGGTACAGACTATGTCCTTGATGTAGTCTGTGACAATCATGCGCTCTTTGTTGGCCAAAGTAGATGCTACTGGTCTACTAAGGTGCCGTACCCAGTCCTGTAGGTGCAACCTTTCCAAACAATCGCGACTTATATAATTTCGCGTGGATCCGTTGTCTATGAAGGCACCACATTTGCGGCCTCCTACATCCACTTCCACCACGAAATGTTCCCCTCTAGGCCCTTTCCTCAGCGCCACCCAAGACTCGCGAGGGTCCTTGTTTGACCACTCACTCTCCAAGTCCTCTAAGGCTTCAGACACATCTAACGTACAGAGCATAGTTTGGTCTAGTTGTGTCTGCGGGGTGACTAAGGGGTCATTAGCCTTGGCCTTGTCATGAAGTAGGGAGGGTATCATTCCTACTTCATCTTGAGTAGAAGCAGCTGCTACTTCCACTGGCCTCACGTGTTTCCCGAGCTAGAAGCCTGGGAATAAGTTGCCCCAACTTTTGGCGCAACCTTTTGCGTAACCTAAGCGTTCTGACACTTCCACTGCGTGTGTCCGTATTCTCCGCAGTTGATACAAGCGCCACGCATTCGGCGATCACGCCACACGTCTTGATCAAGACCTGCCTTTACCCACTCAGCCTGTTTGGTCTGATTGGAGGCGGCCTTCCCTTGACCCCTAGGTTGGCCCTTCCCTCGGCCACCTGCCTTAGTCTTTACTACCGCGGCGAGGGTGCTACCCTCAGCTATCTCCTCGCCGTCAAACTCGGTGTAGTCCACCAGGTCAGAGAGCTCGTCGATCTCTGTTTGAGTCCCATCAGACTCCACCATCATCAACTTCGCCCCCTTCTTCTTCCACTCCTGAGGACTCTTCTTCTTCTTTGAGTCATTTCCTGAGGTGGGTTGAGCATTGCCTAGCGTGGCCTCCAAATCTAAAGCCTTCCTAGACAATGTCTCAAATGAGTGGTACTCGGTGCGTGCCTCACTGGCTAGTAAGTTCCTGATGTTCTTTGGAAGACATCTAATGAAAGTAGTTAACAGGAACTGGTCACTATAGTTGATGCCCGAGACGAGGATCAGGCTTTCAACGGTAGTCGTAAGCTCTCTAACTGACCGAAACTTGCGCTGGTCTAGTTTATTTATGGCATCAGTGGCCCTTTGCGCCTCCTGTGGGTTATGCCATCGAGCTTCTACCATCTCCATGAACTGGTCTAGAGTCAAAGACTTGGCCCAGTCCGCCATGCGTCGCCCGTAGCCGGCTTTCACAACTACCCCATCTAACCATTTGGATGCCTTACCCTCTAGGTAAGATGCCGCAGTTACCACTTCATCCTCTGGCAAGCTCCTTTTGGCCTTCACCCAAACCGGGACCGTCCTCAACCATGTGTTGAGTTCCTCGTCCTTCCTCTCGCCTGAGAAGGCAAGAGGCGGTTTCATTGCGGTCTTGGGGTACCATTGACCTTGCTGCTGCCCCTGTTGAGAGACAGGTTGTTGCGGTGGTGTAGCAACCACCGCTGGACCCGAAGAAGAAGATGCAACAGTCTGTGAGACTGCTGCAGACGTACCACCAGGCTGGGTACCAGCTTGAACTGGAAAGGGGCCTAACATCGCCGATAACGGCAACGACGATTGTGTTGGTGGCCGGAATCCTGGCTTTGTCAATGCATCCAGGATCTGGTCCAAAGTGCTCTGCATGAAGTCCAACCTGTTGTCTACGTGCGCATGCAGTGACAACATGTTGTTCTTCAACACTTTCAGGGTGTCAGACAAACCTGTTTCGTCCAATCCCTGTAACGCAGCCTTGTCAGCCTCTAACGTATCAAGTCTGGCCGCTCTATTTTTTCTCTCTCTTTCTCTATCGGTTGCTTTCTTCAGATCCTCCTCTAACTGCTGGCGGAGCCTCTCGACCTGCTGGATCTCTCTGAGCTCCCTCTCACGTGGGGTCAACGGGCTGAACTGCGAGCCCGCCATTTGACTAGAAGACTGTCTAGACCCTGTTGAACCGGAAGTGCCCGAGGAACTCGTGGAACTCAGTGGCATTCCCAGTTGAGTCCCACTAGTCCCTGACGAGGACACAGACGATGACGCAGCAGAGCTGGTACCGTTAGCCATTGTTGCTGCTCTGGCTGTTGTTGCCCGCTCTCTTGCCACTCTGTTTGCTTCCTGTAGTCCTGCTGCTAGAGCACGGGCTCTACGTTCGGCACGAAGCCGTCTTTCTTCTCCCTCGTCCAAGGTCCTGAACACGTGCGGAACCCTTAATGCTTTTGAACGTTAAGTCTCCTATTGTCAGTTGTATCATCAACAGGATCTGATCCACTCATTAGTTAGGCAGATAGTTTCTGCACTAGAATCCCCTAGTGGAATCCTACCACAGCATGTATCTGACCGGCACCTAATTTTCTAACAATAGTTGTGTCCGGCGAGTATCCTACTATACCGAATCAAGTGGCATGTCTACAACATTCACACAGATTGTCTACATAGTCTAGATGCACCCTAAATGGTTCACTTACATCAGCATTAGTTAGAACTGGCTATGGTAGCATACAACAGTCCTACACTAATATGTCTGTGAGGTTAGTAGTCCGTCAACCAACTAATCAAAGGTACAAAAATACAATGTAGCAGATGTATGATTGATGGGTATGGTTGTGTAAACAGTTGAGCACCAATTGGAACCTACCCTCCCCTCAATCCAACATATCGAACAGCATCATTGAGCGAGCAGTGTCTTCGTGTGTGTATCGGCCCACCCCTGTGCCCAAGTTGTCACCGAGCAAGCCAGCCCAACCAATCTTATTTACCCTCGTACGACGACGAGCCTTCCTGTCCATGTGATCTGGCTGATCAAGAGGAATTTATAGAGCGCCCCCATCTCTTCAGGAATTATTTAACGTTGCAGTCAGGACGACGATCATAGCCAGATTCACAATGAACTCCCAACCAGAAATATTTATAGACGGTCTGGTAAGCGTCTGTCATGGGCTGGCACACCCAGAGGAACTTCTATTAGCGCAGCAAGTGCCAAACAGGACAGCAGCCATCGCATGCGTGCACTACTCCCTGTGGGTTGGCATGGTGACCGTGACCCAAGTGCTTCGACCAGGGCCCTTCAGAGGCACCGCCCTTTCTCCTTCCAGTATGCTTCCGGAAAGATTGTCGTCTCTCAAGGTAGCGCGCTCACGACACCTCACCAAAAGAGAGGACTCTCAAGTTGGACTCACTTCCTCACGGTAAGAAGAGACTGAGAGAGTAGATAAGGTAAGGGAACAACGTACCTGAAGATAGCTGCCCCCACCAATTGAGCTGATGTTGCATTTGATGACCGGTCATGACCTCGGTACCACCCACAACGCAATGCAAGGCCACCTTAGTCCAATGTCACATCAGCATGCTCTCATCATCAATCAAACATTCCGCTGTATCCCACGGCATACAATGCCGGAATAGCCTTCCGGTGCACCCCTCTCAACCCAGGGCGTGCACCTATCAATGGCCTGACGTCACAAGTACCAACTGCGAAGAAGCATCATCAACGCACCAAGTCTGTATAACGCCAGCATGTCGAAGGTAAGTGGCGATCAAACCAGCTCCGATACCAAATTGCAAGGAACATGAGTATGGACGAAGCACA